AAGATAACCATTCAAAACTACGACGAAAAAATTACTGCAGCCAAGCCTTTCTGCCTTCGATACCCCACCTATTCAGACGTGCTTGACCACTCAATTTTGATGCAGGGATGGTGTCAACTTCTCACCAATGAACACATGATTGTGTTGTTGGATGAAGCAGGTATTTGTATTGGTGTTGGAGTACCACCCATCTCACCTCACAGTCCAGTCCATTTACCACCTGCTGTATGTCAAACATGCATGAGCTGATCATTAAACTTCTGTATAATCTAACTAACACATCTATCTCCCCTTATTTGAACAGTCCAGGGCTGAGGAAATTCTCAACGAAATGGTTTCCAAATTATCATTGGACACCTCTGAGGCAGGCCTTGAATTTTCCTCCCAAACTCGTCCCAGTGTGCCCATGAACCCCTTTCCACTCAACAAGTCCAACAAAGGCAAATCACGTGGTTCTAAAGCAGAAGATAAATCAAGCATATGGATACGGATTGGGTGATGTGAGTATGTTCTGATTGTTTAAAACATGACGGGGCTAAGTGACTTCTTATTCAGAAAAAATCGAAGGGCATGGCCAACCTCAAGATCCCAATCCACAAGAAAAAGATCAATCCAGCAGAGCTTCAAGGGTTCAATGACGCATGGAGGTCGACGAATGCACCTGTTCCCGTACTCCCAAATCCACTAAGGGATAGTCAAAACACCGAACACAACAAGGCCATGGCTAAGTTTCGAAATGAGATCACGTTTTATTCCAAACTGTCCTTCAAATCCTTCTTACCAGAATCATCCAGAGTTGCGGAAGAGGCTGTCAACTACCTTAAGAATGCCGGATCAGATCTTCTTCAATAAAACCTATTGCATGAAAACAATCCAATAATTGCGTGTGGGTGATGCATGAAATATGATTTACTGAATATATAACCTGATTACTGTTTATATTTAGCTCGCACTATCAGTGTGAACAATCAATTCCGCACTCACAGGGATCAGAAGAATTCATTACTGTTCGACTCCACCTGCTTTTTTGGTAATCACCAAGGCGGTGAATTCCTCCTTCCGTCTTTGGGGGTGGTGTTGTGGTAAGCCAATCCTGAACCTCAAGGCACAGCACGATTTCATATCACACAATAATCACAGACCCAAGACCCCTCAGGAATTCCCCAGGCCCTCAAACAAATCCAACACACCAGTCATCTACACAAGTACCCCCCTCATAGGTAAAGACATCTTCCACACCTCTGAAACTCCTCAAATGAAACCCTTGGCCAAATTCCTAGTTCACTCTTGATAAGAGTTAGCTCACACACCAATTACACACTAGTACCCCTTCCCAATATAACCTCAAACACCTCTAAAATATATTCCTTATCTCTTATCTCCTTCCACCTTATGCCAAGAATTACCACTCAACAGCCATGTTTCATACTAGCCCTCTTTTGGCCCTTTCTTCCCATTGCCTGTTCAATCCCCATCTGGGTGAAATAATTACCCCCACCTCTTCCCCTTGATAAGATTATCCAAGCCTCTCTCTGTTTCAGAATGAATTCATTACCTTATCTTAGCTTTGCCCTTTCTTTGGTTTCAGTCTAGTCTTATCTTATCTTAGTGCCACACTAAATTAGGCCACATTGTTCATAGTTCAATTTTCTTCCTTGTTCATTCTTTGTTCCATTTTGTTCCATCCATATTCCAACCACAAATTGGCCACTCCCCAGAATCTTGTATATAAGGAGCTTTGTTTTCCTCTTCCTTTGTTCCACATCAGATCCTGCCCCAGCAATTCAGATAACTGATCACCCATTATTAGCCAGGTATTTGCCCATCAACATTTGGGATACCTTGATTTGTGACAAGTATATTTAGACTAGTAAACATAAGACATATTAGACATACCATCCTCAAGAAATCTCCACAGCCACACCTTTTTCCTTAAGAGTCCATACTCTTATATTTTCTTGTTATCAGAGAGGCAGCCCATTAAAGCACTCATCCCTCTCAAGCTCTATTCCTCCCAAGAGTAGTTCCACAGCGTACCCAGGATTACACGGCCATTCTTTCCACGGTCCCCTTTGTATACTCTTACATGGTGTTGCACAGTTCTACTTTCCGCCTGATTTGCAAGGCCCCCCTCGTCGATATTCTGTAGCCTTTTGGAGTTGCTCAAGCTCATTTTCAGCTGTGGCAAGATCCTCTGCTCATGCAGCAGGTAACAAGGTAACATTACTTCACTCCACATAGTAATATTGTTTGAGACTTATCCTGATGGTTATATTTTATAGAATTATAGCAATCCACAATATTGGCTTCCGGTTTATCCCAGATACAGTAGTGAATCAGTTAACCAGGTGTTTCACCAACAAAAACTAGAGTCTAGAAAAAGAAGAAGAAGAGAAATGATGTAGATAGAAAACAAATATCTTGTTGGGCTTAAATTGAATCTGTTTCTTGTTATTTTAAAGTGTTGGTTTTGTGTCAAATTCTTCAGAAATGTGTCAAATTCCTCAGAAGCTTGACGAATTCACCAGAGGAAGCTTTCTATCATTTCAGGAAGAATCAAATAAAATGCTGAGTAAAAAACATTTATATTCAACCGGTATTGTTTGAACAGGGCTTCAATTTGATTTAATTTGCTCCAGATCGTATATCATCCATCCATTTTTTCTTCAAAGTGTGTTCAATCTTATTGAACCCTTCCATCAATTCTTGCTCAGTAAGTGTCGAGCCTTCTGACTGCACTATTTTCAGTCGGCGATTCTTCTTAAGCAGCCTAGCAGACAGATTATGTACCTTTGGGAAGATACAACCTTTTACCGGAATTCCAAGAGTGTTTCCTGAAGGGAAAGCATTTCCATTCAGAAAAAATACACTTATATTTTTGAAAGGCTATATAATTACACTTACCGAGTGTTTGGTTCAGAGCTGCTCGAAGATCCTTTTTCAGTTGATTGGCTTCCCTAAGCTGCTTTGATGTGCTAACCCCACTTGCATCCTCAACTGCCTCTTGTATCTCTCTTCCGTGACTGTAAGCCTCGAACTTCTCTTTTGCTTTCCAATTCTTCTTGGCAAGAGCTAGCCAAGCAACATCGTTGGACCACTCTTTACAAAAACTTTTGACTCCGCTGTCCCTTGTTGCAGCAAGGAGGTAGTAAGTTGTGTTGTATAAGGTCGACATGGTGAAGAGCTGTGCGTTTGGAATGGGTTAGCATTGTACTGAAAAATTAATGCAAACAGTGAATGACTGACTTCTCCATTCAACGTTTCTACACTCCTTTCCGCCTGCTCAAATGCCTTGGAGTTGTTGATGCCAATATGGACTCCTTCAGAGATAATTAAATTGACTTTTTCTTGGTTTACTAACTTCACATAGAGGGGTTGTTAGAGTTTGATCTCTTCAGGAGTGAGTTCGATTTCGGTGTCTTCATCATCGTCCCCAGTGTCCAGTTGGCAAGGTATTTTTGAGAAATACTGAAAGATGACCGGACTAAAAACATCTTTCTCTTCTTCAGAAAGCAAAGCCCAAGCTTCTCCAAGGTGAACATTGCGTTCTTCCCAACCAATTGAGCATCCAGGAGGAGGAACTGCGGATAGGGGATTAGTATGGTCCATATTTGTTGTGAAAGGGTAGAAAGATAAGGAAACTTACCAGGGGTGTTTGCACTCTCCACACTAAATGCTACATATTGATTCCAACCACTTTTTCTTCTAGCCGGTTTATTTTCACCCCTGCAAATAAGGCCTTTCATATATTTCAATCCACCAAAGCTATTGTGGATGTAACATTGGGATCACTCACAGCCATTTGTTAACACTACCTTCACTAATATTTTCAATCAAACCAAGCATGAGCTTGCTTTTGGTGTAGTTTTTCTGAAGCAATGTGAGTTGATCTTGAACTTCAGGTGGAATCCTATTAGATCGGGTGTCTTTGTTTTTGTTGAGTGTTTGGCGCAGTTGAAGTATTGACCAATTGTCTAATTGGCTTTCGAAGTTGTCAAGAGTTAGTTGGATATTGTTGGAGCCGGAGTACATTGGCCAGACTCAGTTGCAGAAGACCTATGTTGCTGGGTTTCTGTGGGCTCAGGGGTGGTATCGTGGTGGTCATCCTCATCAGTATTTTCGTCCGTATTCTCATCAGTATGGTTAGGTTGTCGCTTTCCGGATGTTGCCTTCTTTCTGGAAGAGCTAGCTTGCTTTCTGACTGCATGACCTTTTTTATGGGTGGCCTGGGTCTTTGCAGCGGAACTGGTCCTTTTTGAGCTGCTGCGGGTTTGGTGAGCTTGGGTCGCTCGAGTTTCAGCCATTGGGTGGTTCTGGTGCTGAGATTGATTAGTTGGGTGGGTTGAGTTGGATGGGTTGAGTTGGATGGGTTGAGTTGGGTGGGCTGAGTTCCGTTTGAGTTGCACTGGAAGGATAAGTTGGGAACTGGGGTTGAGTTGGTTCAGCTCCGGCTCAAGTTTGACCTGTGGGTTAGGTTTCAATTTTTTGCTGTGAAAATTCCCTGTGAGCCAAAATTTTTTTCATGAAGGGAAGTTGTAGAGGAAATTGAGCTGGTTGAGCTGGATTTCTAGGAGGGAAGTTGATCTGGGTGAGCTCGAAATTGAGCTGTGTGAGCTGGAAATTGAGCTGTGTGAGCTAGAAATTTAGTGGGTAAGTTGAGCTGCATGAGTATGAAATTGAGCTGGGAAAGCTGTAATCTTAGTGGAGTAATTGAGCTGGGTGAGCTGTAATCTTAGTGGGCAAATTGAGTTGGGTAAGCTGTAATCTTAGTGTGCAGATTGAGCTGGGTGAGCTTTATATTAATAGGTAAAAAGAGCAGGGTGAGCTGTATTTTCTGTGGGAAACTGAGCTTGGTGAGCTGGATTTTTATTGGTGTATGGAGCTGGATGAGCTGGATTTTCAGTGGTGTATGGAGCTGGGTGAGCTGTATGTTTTGTGGGAAACTGATCTGGGTGGGTGAGCTGGATTTATAGTGGTGTATGGAGCTGGGTGAGCTGGATTTTCAATGGTGAATTGAGCTGGGTGAGTTTATCTTAATTGGTAAAAAGAGCTGGGTGGCTGGATTTTTAGTGGTGTATGGAGCTGGGTGAGTTATATTTTTAGTGAGAAAATGAGATGGTTGAGCTGGATTTTTACTGCGGAACTGAGATGGGTGTGCTGGATTGTTAGTGGGAAACTGAGCAGGGTGAGCTGTATTTTTAGTGGTAAACTTCATGGAGCTGGGTGGGCTGGATTTTTATTGGGAAAATGAGCTGGGTGGGCTGGATTTTTATTGGGAAAATGAGCTGGGTGGGCTGGAATTATAGTGGTGTGTTGAGCTGGGTGAGCTGTATTTTAGTGAGAAAATCAGCTGGGTGAGCTGGATTTGTAGTGGGAAGCTGAGCTGGGTGAGCTGGATTTATAGTAGTGTATGGAGCTGGGTGAGCTGGATTTATAGTGGGAAAATGAGCTGGGTGGGTTGTATTTTGAGTGAGAAACTGAGCTGGGTGAGTTGTATTTTTATTGAGAAAATGAGCTGGGTGGGCTGTATCTTTAGTGGAAACTGAGCTGGGTGAGCTGGATTATCAGCAGTGTATGGAGCTGGATTTTTACTGGGAAAGTGAGCTGGGTGATCTGGATATTTACTGGGCAACTGAGATGGGTGAGCTGTATTTTTAGTGGGCAAATTGAGCTGGGTGAGCTGTATTTATAGTAGGCAATTGAGCTGGGTGAGTTGGATTTTTACTGGGAAAGTGAGCTGGGTGAGCTGTATTCTTATTGGTAAAGTGAGCTTGGTGAGCTGGATTTATAGTAGTGTATGGAGCTGGCTGAGCTGTATTTTTAGTGGGAAACTGAGCTGGGTGAGCTGGATTTCTAGTGGGAAAATGAGCTGGGTGAGCTGGAAGGGTTGGCTGATTGAAATTCAAAAATTTTCTTGCCGATCAGTTGAGCTGGATGAGCTGGATTGGAGATGGTCTCATCCATCTCAGCAGGGCCTACGGTCCCAAACCAAAGATGTTGCCGCATTTATCTTTGGTTTGGAACCGAAGATTTTTAATTGCCACAGGTGCTAGATCTTCTGTTGCCTTGACATGCTTGGACCAGTTCCCGTACCGATCAGGGGCTTTCCTTTCTCTTCCAGAGCGATGGGTTGGCGGGAAATGAGGAGCTTGATCTTGATTTTGGACTGGGATACTAGGTGCTGGGCTGCTGTCAGAGGGCGCATGGGGAGAGGCAATCACCAGTGGAGATCGGGGTAGTGGAGGAAGTGTAATGGGGACGGCATCTGCAGGAGAGTCTGGACTGGAGGCTTTGGGATTGCCTGTTGTCTTGGGCGAGGATGGGGCAGGAGGTGACGGGATTGGTGATTTTTCACGAGGGGCATTGCCAGGTGTTTGGATGGAAGCTGTGAGTCTTGTGTCAAAGCGTGGTTGAAGCGGTGTGTGTAAGGTCTGGATATGAAACTAGAAGGAAATTCTAGTACTATTCCTGTCCTAATAAATTGTGTTAGTGATTTTATATTAATTTTTAAAGTTTAAAGTGTGTTTAAACTTACAAAAAGGGGATTGTTGGTTAAACAATCAAAGAAAATTATAACCTCACAATATTACTTGTTAAGAGGCCTAGAGTTGAATGTTAATCAATACTCTGAATTCCAAGGGAGGAATTGAGGAAAAGTGAATTGTTTGTTAGACAATAGATCACAAGGAGTTTGTCCAAAAAGTTCTTTTGAATGAGTTGAGAATTCCTGGGCAATTTCTAGAGCAATACTTCTGCAACAGAAAGTAAGAAATGGCCAATTTTAAAGGAATAAGGAGCTGGGATCTTTTAAGGGCAAAGGCTACAGGTTAAGGCTGAAGGTAGCAGTAAAAGAGGAGCTCTGTTTTGTGGTTGGAATGATAAAGTTGATAAGAGGAATGGTTGGAAATGCTTGCTTCAAGTATATAGTAGTATATATGGTGAAGTGGGTGAATTTCTGAGGTTTAAGCACTCAATAAAGGAGTCCTTATATAGCCACACACCTGAGGGTGGCTTGCAGTGCACTTTTGCACGATGACACTGATGCTTTGGGCTTGTTTGGCTGGGTGGAAGCCATGCACAAGGCCTTGGTTATCAGTATCCCAAAGGCTGAAACAGTTGTAACTGTAACCACGGGTACAGCTACCCAGTCAGGAAGTAATGATGCAATGCCAAGTTATTGCTAGGGTTCTATATGCCCAAAGGAGAATTTTTGTTTTGTCTCCAATCCATTTTGGAGGGATCTGGTTGAGGTATTCTGATATGTACTGGCTGAGAACAGGTTAAACTACTTGGGCCAGATTGAAATGGGCCAATTCTCAACCCTATTGATTTCATACTGGACCAGGGTTATTCTGGTGGATGGCTGATGTAAGAGGCTATTCTGAGCTCACTCAGAAAGGTTATTAAGGTTAGGGATGAACAAAACAGGTTACATGACCAAGTGGCTGGTTAGGGTTCAGAATATGTGGTCCAAACTGGTTACTTGGTTATAGTTGCTGAACTACAAGGTTGTACATGTTGCACAAGCCTTGGAACCTTGTTTATCTTGAGTTCGCATACACTGAACTTTGTTTATGTCATCAGCTGATTTGGTTCTGTAACTTTAAATGTCTGTAACTCTTTAGTTATTGATTATTTTACAGAATTCTTTGTTTTTTGAGTATGTAGTTACACAGTGGAATGTAACTACATGAAGTTTGTTTTTATTTTCTAAGTAAAGAAAAAAAGTTAGTTTTTATTTTTAAAGGCCTTTGTGGTCATTTGCAGGCTTTTGACCATATATACTTTTATATGTAGATTTTTGTGCTTAATATTAATTTACTATTTATAATATTTTTTACTTGGGCTAGTCTTGAGACTTGACTATGAGTTGTAATTATTATGTTTAGTATTTATATTTTGAGGCCTATGGGTATGTATATACCTCAAGGCTGTGTCAGCCTGGGTAATGCCAACAGCTAGACTCTTCTAGCTACACCAGGTGCAAAGCTAAGAAAAATGGTGTACAAGTGTGGGTAACACTTGGAATGGGGAGGTAATTGATATTAAGAAAAGAAATAATAAAAACTGTTAAG